AGGACGCTCCCTGGTGGTCTAGGTAACTGGGGCGGGCCAGAGCTGGCGTGCATCATTGACCGGCAATGAGGCACACCCCCTGGACAGGGGCTGTGCCTCTCGTGAGCGCGGCCTTTGTCCAGGGACATCCGCAAGCGCGGGAACTTCCCGTGCTGTGGATGACAGGGCTGAGATGGCGTCAGCGAGACGCCGTAGCCTGGAACATCCATGCAGGAGGTTCGCACCTCTCCGCGGACCGCAGGACCGCAGCCCTCTCTCTGAAATCCGAGCATCAACCCCAATAAGGCCCCTTGCACTCCCAATCCAAGTGTGCTGTCCCTGCCTAGGATACATGTTTGTCTGCCTGGGGACACACCCTGACAGGTCAGATCAGAAGACATGCTTTCAGGTTTTCAGCCCCCTGCAGATAGGTCATTCTTCCTGTCAGGCCTGTGTTTACTCTTCCCAGCAGGGAAGTTCACACCTAGCCAGAGGCTGAAATCCCTGTGTGAATGGCTTTCCAGTGCTGGCCTGCATGTGGGACTAGAAAGCCCAGCCAGCTGTTGTTTACCCTCAGCAGGGAAGCCCTCAGCTAGCTGACCTCTGAAGCTCCTTTGTGGATCGTTTTTTCAGTGCTGCCTTATGCGTGGAACTACAAGTCCCAGCCGGCTGTTGTTTACCCTTCTCAGCAGGGCAACTCATAGCTAGCTGACCTCTGAAGTTCCTTTGTGAATCGCTTTTCAGTGCTGCCTTATGCTTGGAACTGCAAGTCCCAGCTGGCGGCTCAATACCATGCAAGGCCAACACCTGGGCACTTATCAAGGCATAATCTTCTGAGCCTGGGCAAGGGACAGGCCTATCCAGACCATCCCTTTGCTCAGCCCCCAGGGATTGTACCTCTGCCCCCTTCACAGCACTGTGGGTGACCCCCAACAATGAAAATGCATCATTTGTTTCATCATGAATATCATAACCATCATTAGTGTTACCAACATTACTATCAATATTACTGACATTACCATCATCATCATCATCATCATTGTCATTATCATTGTCAACAGTCACGTTTATAATATCAATGACACATGAGTTCGATACCTCCCCAGGCAAGGGGATTTCTTCTCCTTCTCCAGCTAATGGAGAATCCTGTAGCCCCACTCCATTCCCAGCCCCCTCCCTCTGTCCATCCACAGGTTGCCCAGACATTACCCCAATATCTGCACACAGTACCTTGGCATGTCCAGAGAGTTCCAGGGGGGCCCTTCCGGGTATTCTCGGCAGGGGCATAACAAGAAACAAGAGTACCTAGGTCAGCACCCAACAAAAAAGGTGTGGGAATTTCCTCCGAGACCCCCACCTCCCTCATCCCCCTTCCCGCACCCCAATCTATGAATACCTTGGCACAGGGTATGAGTGAACAGGTCCTCCCAACTCCTGTGAGGGTAAGGAACTTTCCTGGAATGAGGTTCCTTTGCTCAATCACCTCCGGCCGGATCAAGGTGACTTTTGCCCTGGTGTCCCGGAAACCAGTTACAGACGGTTGCCCACAGTGACTGGCTGCAATTTGGTGGGGGTTACCCGCATCTTTCTGCGGACAAACAGCATGGAAGAAGAGTTGCTGGCCGGCTGGCCAGATGATGTCATCTGCTTCTGCTCAGGACACTGCATCCTGAGATGTCCGGCTTTCCCACAGGTGAAACATCTGCGGTTGTCAGGCAGGGATGGCTTGGCCCCAGGGGCTGCAGGTGTGGGCGGAGGGGAAGGTTGACTCACCGGTGTAGGGGAGGTTGCTAGCTAGGGCGATTTTCCTCCTTTCCAGCCGTTCGGAGGAGCCTTGCGATGGTCAGACACTCGTGTGTGGACGAAGGTATCTGCCAAATCGGCTGCAGCTTTAGTAGACGCTGGCTCTCTCTCCAAGACAAACTGTCTGACGTCGGCCGGGCAGATGTGTAGCAGTTGATCGCGTATCATGAGATCTTTCAAAGACTCGTAGGAGTCAGCTTTCAGTCCCTTAGTCCACTGTCGGAATGTGGTGCGTAAGTGACTCGCCACATCTGTGTAAGAGTCCCCAGGTCCCTTCTGTATGGATCATCTCCAGCTTGTGCCGACGATCAGCTTCCCTCTGCACCTGGCGCTCTTCTCTGTCTCTGTGAGGTGTTTCAGGGCTTCCTGCATCTGAGGAGAGTCTCTGCTGGTTACAGGCACTCTGGTGCTGGCCCGCTCAGGCGGTGGTGTGACGATACCATTCGATGATCCTCCAGTGTCAGTCTCTGTATGCCTATTCTGCGAGGCAGTCTCTGAGCCACTGGGAATGTAGGTAACGGGAACCCTGTCATGCTCAAGTTCCCCCGAGTTCTGATCTGCTCGGCTATCATGCTCCTGTAGATCCCGAATCAAATCTTCACGGGTCCGTCCATTCCCCGTGAGGCACATTCCGCACTCAAACCACTTTTGCTCATTTTCTTGTATTCTGCGTCACCAGGCATAATTGCAAGCAAAGATAGAATAGAAAGTAGAAAGAGGAAGGAGCTGTTGCTATATGTCTCCCTATATATATATATATATATATATATATATATATATATATATATATATATATAAATGCACCGCTTGTTTCTAAGGACTGTTTCCACAAAGGTTACAATTAGAGATGAGCGAATTATTCAAAAATTTGATTCGGCTGATTCGCCGAATTTGCGTAATAAATTTGATTCGATGCGAATTTATTCGCTGCGAATTTAACTTATTAAAAGGGTTTCTAGGCTTCAGAGAGCCTTTATATTAGTGCAGAACACTGTACCTTTAATTTAAATGCCCTTGGAGTCTGCTGGGGAAGAGAAATAATACTGTCAGTCAGTATGACATGCAGATGAGTGCCGTCGATCTTAGAATCACCGCACACTTCACTCATTTGGGCAGTCACGGGGCCAAAACCAGAGTGTGGAGCCACAGTGTGGCGGTGGAGGCAGCAGCAATGGGAGGCCATACAGCACCCTATGACAAAATGGAACCCACCAGCAGTGTGAGGAGACCTGAAAGTGGCACATGGCAGAGTGTGGCGATGGAGACAGCAGCAATGGGAGGCCGTACAGGGACCCATGACACACTCTGGACCTGGCAGCAGCATGAGGAGGCGGGTACAGGGGCCCATGGCAGAGTGGCGAAGCGTAAGCAGCTTAAATTGAAGGCCATACAGAGGCCTATGTTAAAAAGTCCCCCCAGCAGCATTTTGGGGAGACGACTATCAAGAGTCCAATGGCAGAGTGGCGGAGCAGAAGCAGCTTCAATTGAAGGCCATACACCGGCCTAGGTTAAAAAGTCCCCCCAGCAGCAGCGTGGGGAGACGACTATCAAGAGTCCAATGGCAGAGTGGCGGAGCAGAAGCAGCTTCAATTGAAGGCCAATAGTGGTTGTGAAGCAGAAAGTCAGTTTATTGTACACAATCGGTCAATTGCAGCTTGCCGTTGGCTGGAAACTGTACGTTTGTGTCACTGGAATGCACTAATCACCCAAAAATATATTACCGCCAGCCGGCGTGTAAATGGATTTAACTCTTTGAACGTACAATAGTGGTTGTGAAGCAGAAAGTCAGTTTATCTTGCACAATCGGCAAACTGCAGCACCAACTGTGCACGACAGCCACCAAAAAAAAAAAAGGGTGTATGTCACTTTAAATTTTCGATTCTTTGATAGCTGTGGCCCTAAGTAACGATTCTGTGTCCCTGAGTAACGATTCTGTGTCCCGCTGAGTAACAATTCTGTGTCCCTGAAGTAACAATTCTGTGTCCCTGAGTAACGATTCTGTGGCCCTAAAGTCTCTGTGGGGCCCTAATGCAGGCCATAGATGGGTCGAAAATCGGCCGATTTTTCGGCCGAAAATAAAATCGGGCCGATTTTTCGGATCGTTAGTGGGCTATTTGGTCGGGGGCCGTTTTTTTTCGGTATTTTGGTCGTTTTTTTTTTTTTTCTGTAAAGTTGGAAAAAAAAAATCGGCCGATTTTGCCGATCGGCCGATTTTCGCGGCAATAGTGGGCAAAATCGGACGATTTTTTGCCAATAAAAAATCTGCGTATGAGCAGTGACCTGCAAGAGGAAGACAAAAAGAAGAAAAAGAAGAAGAGGAAGAGGATGAAGAAGAGGATGAAGAAGAAAAGAGGAAGAAGATGGGATGAAAAAGAAGAGGGATGAGGAAGAGGAAGAGAAGAGGAAGAAGAGGATGAGGGATGAAGAAGAAGAGCGAGAGGATGAGGATGAAGAAGAAGAAGAGGAGGATGAGAGGATGAGGATGAAGAAGGAGAAGAGGATGAGGATGAAGAAGAAGAAGAGGAGGGATGAGGAGGATGAATGAAGAAGAAGAAGAGGATGAGGATGAAGAAGGAAGAAGAAGAAGAAGAAGAGGATGAGGATGAAGAAGAAGAAGAGGATGAGGATGAAGAAGAAGGGATGAGGATGATGATGAAGAAGAAGAAGGAGGAGAGGATGAAGAAGGAAGAAGAAGTTGGATGAGGATGAAGAAGAGGAAGAAGAAGGTGGAAGAAGAAGAGGATGAGGATGAAGATGAGGGAAGAAGAAGAAGGAAGAATGAGGATGGAAGAAGAGGATGGGTGGGGGGGATGAAGGAGGGGAAAGAGGATGATGGTGAGGAGGAGGATGATGAAGAAAAGAAGAAGAAGGATGAGGATGAAGAAGAAGAAGAAGAAGAGGAGGATGAGGAATGAAGAAGAAGAAGAAGAAGAAGGGAGGGAGGAGGAAGAAGAAGAAGAAGAGGATGAGGGAATGAAGAAGAAGAAGAAGGATGAAGGATGAAGAAGAAGAAGAAGGGAGAATGAAGAAGAGGATGAGGATGAGAATGATGAAGAAGGAGAGGAGGAGGATGAAGAAGAAGGAGAGGAGGATGAAGAAGAAGGAGAAGAAGAAGAAGAAGAGGATGGGATGAAGAAGATGAGAAGAGAGAGATGAGAATGAAGAAGAAGAAGGGGAGGATGAGGATAAAGAAGAAGATTGGATGAAGGAAGAAGATGAGGATGAAGAAGAAGAAGAAGAGAAGGAAAGAGAAGAAGATGAGGATGAAGAAGAAGAAGATGATGAAAAGAGAAGAAGAAGAAGAAGAAGAAGAGGATGAGGTGAGGAAGAAGAAGAAGGGATGAGGAAGAAGAATAGTTGAGGATGAGAATGAAAAAGATGAGAGGAATGAAGGAGAAGAAGAAGAAGAAGAAGAAGAAAGAGAAGAGGAAGAAGAGGATGTAGGAGGATGAAGAAGAAGAAGAAGAAGAGGATGAGGATGAGGAAGAAGAAGAAGAGGATGAGGATGAAGAAGAAGAAGAAGAGGATGAGGGGAAGAAGAGGGATGAGGATGAAGAAGAAAGAAGAGGATTAATGAGGATGAGGAAGAAGAAGAGGATGAGGATGATGAAGAAGAAGAAGAAGAAGAAGAAGAGGAGGATGAGGATGAAGAAGAAGAAAAGGATGAGGATGAAGAAGAAGAAAAGAGGAGTGTATCTGCAGAGAGCTCCGCTATTTCTGACAGTTCTCTGACAGTTCCTTCACATTTACAGCGGTTGAAACATTGTATCTATTTGTTTCCGAATAAAAACATCTGTATCCTAAATGGAAACAAATAGATACAATGTTTCAACCGCTGTAAATGTGAAGGAACTGTCAGAGAACTGTCAGAAATAGCGGAGCTCTCTGCAGGGACACTTTTTGCCGGCTGTAGAAGGGATGAAAATCGGCCGATCAGGGAAAATTCGATTCGTGCATCCGAAGTTTGCTAATTTTCGGATTCGGCGCGAATCAAATTTTTTCCTAATATTCGAAACGAATTCCACTTCGTCATGTTCGATTCGCTCATCTCTAGTTTACAATCCTTCAGTGCAGAGCCAAATTTTTTTAACACTGGCCCCTGCACTTGTGGTGAAAGCTATAAGCTGACATGTATCACACAGGCATAGTCCATTGTCATTCTAGTTCAGAGCAATGATGTACAGCTGTCACTGGTGTGAAGGCAGGAAGTGTCTAAAATAGGATACAAAAAGAAGATGAAAAAGAAAGTGAAAACAGGATTTTCTTAACAACAAAAAACTGTTAATGATATCCAGTGCTTTAGCAACCTAAATGTCATCCATTTAGGGTTTATAATTATTTAAATCTGGAATTTATTATAGAATAAAATTATATTTTTGTTTCCTATAGAGCCCAACGCTAATAGAAAGTTTGTTTTTTTCACTCAAAGAATTGATCTTTTTCTATACAATCTTTACAATCTGGCTAAAGATTGACATAAGCAAGATTACAGAAAGAAAAATCTCCTTTAATCGGGGACAGAGCTATGTGAAGTATAATTATAATTTATGGCAATCTTATTATAAATCATCTAAAGGAAAATATTTTATGGACCATTGGTCTACAGTAAATGGGAATGAATTTCAGGTTTTCTATTTGCAGTCCTGCGTGAATTCATATGTAGATTTGCCAGAGAGAATTCTTGAACCATAATGCACTGCATGACCCTCTATAGTAAGAAGCATAAGGAAATATATTAGGGTCATTTTGGAAACTTTTTTTAATTCTGATTGCTTTCTCTTTTGGCAATCAGCGCCTTTAAAAAAATTAGCTTTTGTTTCCAAAGGTTGGTATTTTCGGATTTTCATTTTGGGGGGTATATTTTTTATCATTTTATGTTGATAGGGCATTTATTTTTGGTTTAATTTTTAGTTAAACTGTTTTTTTTTTCAGCAGCAAGGCTTCCCTTTAAATTGAAGTGGACTTTTATTTCAGGTGTAGTATTTTGGGGGTTTCATTTTTTTTTTTGGTTGATAGAATTTGTGCTGTAAGTACAGCAATCCAATCCTCTGTTCTTGGAATTGCACGCTTTTACAAATAAATAAGTATAAGAAACAGGGTACCTAGTATTATCCCTGATTAAAACTGTCGATTTTATGCTGTTGTATCCTTTACAGAATCCTAATTCCCATACTAAAGCCCCAACCTGTGCTCTTTGTCTCTAGTAAATTTTGGCCTAGCTTTGCTATTTAAATCTGTTGTTGGCCACTTTTACACTGTTCTGCCATCTGCAGTCTCTTAATTCTTGTAGCAAAACACCTGGCCCTACTCCTTAGCTCTAGTAAATTTAGGCCAATTCTCTCTCATTAAAAATGTCCTGCTGATGGCTATGCACATCTGCTTCATCTGCAGTCTAATTCTGAATGAGAGTTTGAACAGCAGCAGAAGAGTATTGCATGTGTGCGGACAGTCGCATCGAACTACTGGTCAATTTCCATCTGCCAGTCAAGCGGTCCTATTACTGTTTGAAGAAAAGTGTGTTCACAGCTAAAACTACCTTAAAAAAAACCTGAAATTAGTCAAATTTTGGTGCTGCTGCATGAGTGATTTTGCTGCTGTGCTTTAAGGCATCCCCCAAGCATGTTATTTAAAAGAATTATGTTTTTTCAATGTTCCCCCTAAGGCTAGGTTCACACCTATGCAGGTTGCGTTTGAGCCTTTTCTGAATTGCGTCTTGCTTTGCCTATTCGCTGCATTTTTGATGCGTTTTTTTATTTTTCTTGTTGCTAGACAGATTTAAAAGACATCAAAATGAGGCAAAAACAAAGAAAAAAATGCAATACATAAGTAAAGTGCAGCGCTAAATTAAATGAAAATAAATGTGAAGATAAAAGTTTGTTTAAAAGTTTGTGCAATCAATAGTACTCATATATAGCACCAATGAAATTTCCAACAGCTGTAGATATCTCATAAATGCTTGTGACAGGAAAATGGGAGAAATGCGCACTCACCAACCGCGCATAGGAAATGCGCATAAAGGTATCAAATGGAGTATGAAACAGCAGGTAGATGGTGAGGCATCTCTCAGAAGAAAAGGTCATCAAGCTTGGGTGAAGTGGTAGATCAGCTGGACTCAGAGGACTCCCTTAAGGATGTATGGATAAACGACCTGGATACAGGGCTCTCTCCTCTGGATGTAGGATAGAATGTAAGTGGTGCTGTGGATCTAATAGCCCCTCGATGGGGGGCCAAAAAGAGAGGAAGTGCCAATAGTGTAGTATTTTGGTACTTTATTGATATGGTAAAAGAGCGTAGTAATGTTGTAGGGCATAAGTGATAATAACAATGCCAAGTGATGAAAAGAAGCAAAGTATTCCACAAACCCTATAGTAAGATGGTCGCCGGACCTCCTCGTGGTCCTGGAGGCGATGACGTCACACGCTGTCAGCTCCTCCTAAGGCCTTTCGTGCTAAGGCACATCTACAGAGGGGAGGCCGCCAGGACCATGAGGAGGTCCGGCGGCCATCTTACTATATTAAGTTAAAAGTTAAGTAGTATTGGACATTGTTTTTATTGAAATGTATTCAGCAGATTGATTTAGGGTTCTATGAACACTACTAATGTGTTCATATTCAGCAAAGATCTTAATTCACCTTTTATTCAGTAGAGTTCTCAGGCTGTAACCTTTCACCCACCCCACCCTCCAACCCAGTGAAAAAGCACATCTAGGCACACGTCATACTGCTTAAAGTTCTGCACTCAGTGCTAGAGTAGCCAATGAGCAGAAACATAGGTGGCAATATTTCTTGTGCAATTATTGATTTTTAGAAAGTAAAAGTTTGCATAGGGTTTTCAGTCCCTACAGAGGCAGATGGGGTGGCTGGGGATCCCAATAAATATAAGAGCCAGTATTTAACTAAGCTTTTTATATAACTAGATAGTTTGTGCCCTATTTTCAGAAGTACATGCATTTGTTACATGGAGATATATTGTAGAAGAGACAAACAAAATCTGAATTCACAAATCAGAATCATAACTGATAACACTATATTTTAAATAATTAGCGCTGGCTGATATCCAGAAAATTAGCAAGTCAGCAGACTTTTCAGCTGTTAAAAAGAGTATACATAAAAAGAGCAGCAGTGTACTAATCTGAGCCATTATAATCACTGTTATTTGTGCAAAGTAAACAATTTTTCCGATGTAATCTACTGCAGAACAAATGTTTTAATATAGTAAATGCATTTTTTTTCTCTTTGCCTCAAGAGAACCTACTCTACAAAATGTCCACACATCTTGTGCTAATTTGCTGAAGGTGTTGTGCCCCTGTCTAATACTTTGAAGCATCTAAGCATCCAAAAACTATGCAAGATCACATAGTCTAGGCAGTAAAAAACCTATATCTCGCTTTGGAGTAGCCTGAAACCTCATGGTGATTCCTGCTCCTGTGGCTTTGTCTTTTTAGAAAATATTATTTGCTACTGTATATTTTAACAACTGTCACATTTCCTTGTTGGAGAAGGGTGGGAAAAGAATAGTTCTCTGATTCTTTATATTGACTTTCTCTTCACATGTTTGTACAGTCATTTACAAATCTTCTTTGGCCTCTTTCCAACACCTTTAAATGCATAAAGGGGGCAGCTTTCAGATAAGCTTGGGGTTTAAACTGAAATATTTATCCTGCAATGGGAACCTTCAGTCAAGCAATTGATTGGCTGAATGAGATGTACCAATCTCTCTGGGTGATCTCAAAGCAGAAATCAATTTCCAAGAATGATATCAGGACCTTGACTTGTATAACCCAGTGCCTCACTTACCCAAAAGTTATAACATTAAAAAAAAAAAGCTTTTCCGACTTCTGAGACTGTGCTTTTTGGATTCGGTGTCAATTGAACTTTTCAGAAGTCTGTATTCTATCTTGTGATTTCCATATCCATAAATGCTCTACTGTTATAACTCTGGCTACAACAACGCACACTAACTATTGAATGGATGTGGTAACATTTTAATATGGATCTCACCCTTACCCCTATTATCATCCATTTTTAAGTTCTACATTACTTTGCTTTCCCATGTATTTTATGTTATCTAAGTTTTTAGTAAAAGCCAAGCTATGGCATTTCAACCTACTCATGACCTGAGTTTATGCCATTAAACTGCTCACCCCTAAGGAGCTGCTGGATTGTGGGGTCCCCCTGCATCTGTACAGCCAGGCAACATGCATTTTCAGCAGGCACATATAATCAGAAAACCAGTCCAAGGGCTTTGTTCTATTATTTATTGAAGGTAAATAACGGGGTTAGGGTGGTTATGGGATGCCCAGAACTTGGTCAATGTAGAACTTTGAGGACAACTTGAGTAATCAAAGGCTTCTAGCAAAAAATCCCAGACTGTACTCTCTCAGGAATAGCTGTACATCCTGGCTAGCCACAATTCCTAACTTGATTTCAGGTACTTTAGTTTTCCCTGCAAAATGCCAGCGTACCTGGCTCCAGCTGAGAATTCACCAAGCAAGGGTGGAGGATAACAGTATACTATCTCTCTGAGAGCTAGCTGAATATTGCACTCATCTCCAGTCTCCCTTGTAGACTGTGTGGGTGAGTGTAGAAAAACTTTGGGGACCACAGGGGAAATTACTTTCAATAGACCGGCAGATCACTTCCAATACTGATCCCAGCACTGGCACATTAGCACACAATTATCCCCAGAAGGGGTTGCAGGATGGCATAAAGGAAAGAGAGGAGGCACTTCTAAGTGTAATAGGCTAGGACAGTTTATTAAACACATAATAGAAAACACTTACTAAAACCAAGTAAAATGTCAGCATATCAATCTGGTGAAATGTCAAAGATTCTTCCTGCACAGGGTCAGTCTCCAGTCATGCACCAACCAGCGGTGCTGAGTGGTGTATGGCTGTCAGAAACCTCTGGAACAACACTGGAGCACAGTAGGAAGTGACATCAAATGGCCCCC